ATGCTGAGGAGCAAAACGACAGGTGGGGACCAGAAACACCTTTTGGGACCAGAAACACCCCTGGGTCGTGTCTTTAAGCCGAACCTCCTCATGGCAGAGCACACCCCCTCCCCCGCTCCCCACACATCCAGCCCATGACTCCTGCAGGCTCTCGGGTGAAACTGAAAGTGAAACTTAAACTGTCTGCTGAGCTCCTAACATTAGTTCTCACTCAGTGAAGCTCTTTTCAGATTCAAAAAAACCTGTGAGGAAATGTATTTTCTGATGCCAAGTAAACTGCATTATAGCACAGGGGTGAAACACACCCCACCCCCCACTTGACGGGTGATGGGGACGGGACGGGACAGAAGTAGGAGGAGGTTCTTAAAGAGGCCAATTTCAAGGCGTTTAGAAGAGGAAGTGATGAGAAGATAAGTTTATTTTCTATTTAAACATAAAAACAGCATTTTAATGACAACTAAAGGTGACATAAAGTATAAATTTTATTAATGTAAAGTATTTAAATATATGCCTGAGAAACACATAATATTGGCCCTTTAAAGACACGTCCCAAGGGTGTTTCTGGTCCCCACCTGTCGTTTTGCTCCTCAGCATGGCTTCCTAAAAACTCTGCAGGATTTCTCAAACATGCATGAATGAGTCAGAGCAAGACTTTGGGCATGTTTTTTTATGACAGTATAACATTATGACATGATATAAAACTCAAAAAAGTAGATTTTACATGATATTGCCCCTTTAAAACTTCAAAAAGTCCCTGAAACCACAGAGAGCTTTCTATAATATACCCCCACAAATCACTGATAAAATTCACCAGTGAAGGCTGAATGAGGAAGCTGACACGTTTCTGTACTGTTTTCTTTTCCCATGCTTTTTCAAGAGAATCAAAACAGACCTTGATGTTAGTCAGTGAAATGTCTCTTTAATTACAGTATCTGCCATGACTGAGTCCACTCAGTAATCTTCAGTTTTGTTTTCATTTTACAGTTTAGACAATGTCTTCTCTTATTCTGATTTGGGGTTATCTGAACTTTTTGGGACAGGTGTCCAAAAATCCAACATCAACAACCAAACAACCAAAAATCGGGACATTTAGCTTCCCTTAAACACACAGTTCAAAGTGATAAGAAGTAAAATGGGATTTTACATTTAGTGCTAAACTTTCAATCGCTCAGCTAAAATTATCTAAATGAACCCAAGTTTCTGGTAGCTATTGATAAACAAAGATCAAACTAGAGAAAAAAATGAACCAGTGGGTGAAAATGAGAACAAAGACACTCTTTTACCAATTTCCATATGTTCCCCTTCACTTGCACTAAAACAAGAAATTTAGGCCAAACCCAGAATAAACTGTTTGTCTTCTACATAGCTGTTCTCTGTATATTTGGAGGTGACATGTGAGCAGCTTTAATTCACTTTTTGTTGACGAACAGCTCACAGCTTCATGTTTGAAGAACCAGATTCACTGAGTTAGTTCATGCTGCAGCAGTAATCCCATTTCTTCTGTTACTGATGCAAATCATTTAGGATCAGCTTCTGTCTATTTCAACAAATCTTATGGTATTTGTATTATGGTATTAACAGGTATTTTTCCTGACAAGAAGTAAATCAACATATGGTAGAAAGATGAGTTCTTCATTTTCATTTTTTAAAATTTGTTTTCTGCCTTTGTATTGATATTTTTAGACGGGATGGGCAGTGTGTGTGTGTGTGTGTGTGTGTGTGTGTGTGTGTGTGTGTGTGTGTGTGTGTGTCTTTCTCTGTGACACCTATCTATTTGCACGCAGCAACTTGGCGGCAGGAAAGAGCAGCTGCTGGTGATCTGCTCAGTCTCGCCTCCTTCTGCTCCAGTGGGATTTTAGATGAAGCCTTGGACCGGTTCTTTCTCCTGTGTTCTAATCCCATAATTTATATTGGAGGATTCTCTGACACCAGATCTCACAGATGGGCTCCGAGTCCCTGAAGTGATACTACGGTGTGACATCAGAGGTAAAAATACCACAAAGAGTAACACATACTAACTGCAGGTCCCTGTGGGGATATTATGCTTTTCATTTCTTACAAATCAGCCAAACTGGACAGAGCTTGGAGGAAAACTGGCCAGATATATGCAAAGTTTACTTAGCTAGAAGTGAAAAGCAACAGAACAATAAATAATAAAAATAAAAAGTTAAAACTACCAAAACATTAGTTTAAAGTGGCAAAAATGTAGACAATGGTAGCAAAATTCTAGCAAAGAAAAAAAACTAAAAGTATATACATAAGCTAAACATTACAGTATATTGGCAAATCGCAAACATTAACCAAAGGTGAACTGAAATTAGAAAAACTATTGAAAAATGCTAAAAGTAGCTAAAAGTTGTTAAAATGTATATGAGTAGCAGAAAAGTAAAGAGCTAGCCAAGTACTAACTACATTACAAATTAGACGAACAGTGAGAGGTTGTGAGGCAGGATTAACCAGGGCGCACGCAAAAATCCAAAGGTGTAAAAATAAAGTTTAATAAACAAAAGGAAGGTTGTCGTGGCAGCAAAACTTACTAAATCTTCTCAGGAAGAGCAAGAACTCAAGGGAGCACAGAGGACAACCACACTGGGTAGACAGCACAAAGTTCAGTCATCAGACTGAGGACAAGACACCAAACATAAAGGGAAACTAATGAGACAAAAAGAAACACCTGGAGGAGACACAACAGGAAACAGGTGAGCATGGGCGGAGCTAGAGGCCTGACAGCAGGGCAGATACACAGGGAAATAGAAAAACACTGCAAAACGGCAGAAAAAACAGAGAATTGCATAGCTAAGAGTATACAAAAATGTGGAAAAAAGATATTTAAAAACTAAAAGTAGCAAAAGGCTCATTTAAAGTCAAATTAGCAGAATTGTAGCCAAAAACTAAAAGTAGCATTATGGTAAAGCCAAAGCTGAATGGTAGTCCAAACATAAAAGTAAATGGATTACTAAAAGTAGCTAAAGTTTATAAAAACCTATATCGTGAAAGTGCCAAATCTCCATCACTGAAAACAGTTTAGTATGTTGTGTTTCCACAAAATGGGTAAATGAAACAAAACAAAGCAAAAGAAAAAATGTTGAGAGAGCATAAAGACCAAGCTATTTGTGGTTTGAAAAAGAATGCATTTTGTCTGCTTTCTTTCAAGTTTTGTAAAACTAAGCCATCAAAAATCTTTTTATGTTAAGAAAATAACAAATCATAACAGTTTTGGACAAATTTTGTGCAAAATAACTTGAACCACGTACGTGGACCACTTGGATGCACGTGTCTTCAGTTGGGTTTATTCATAAAAATATTATTTGTAAATATAGGTTTAGTGATTACTTCCTGAAATATTCTTTAAAAACACCCCAGTGGTTCACGAGATGTTTTGCTTAGGCAAACGTACACAGGCAAAATCAGAAAAAAAATACAATCTGCATTTATTTTGAAACTAATACCGGATGTCGCTTAAATGTAACTTTTTTTTTTTACGGCACAAAATTTATTTGTAATACTTAGACGTTTTCTGAAGTGAAGACAGTCACCTGTGCACAACCATATCAAACGAAAAATAAAAATAAAATCAGAGAATTAAGCCTGCTGACGCCGAGAAGCGTCTCTTATTTTGAAAGTCATAGCGGATGTAGGTGTTGTTGGTTCAGGTGAACTTGACGTGTCGCTGCTAAATTGTCGCGCCGACAGGTTTCTGGATGTTATTAATCGGGAGAGACGCTGGTGTCGGGCTCCAGGACCAGGCTGTAGCTCCGGAAACATGACGGCGTCCAAAGATCCGACCAAGAAGAAGCCGAAAGACCCGCAGCAAGACGAGGTACCGAGAAAATACCCGGTTCTGTTCCGATTTAAGGGGGCTCCAGTAATCTACGGTTTACAAGGACAGAATACTCCTGCAGGCTTTTACTGCTCTATTAATCACGTTATTAACAACAAAAATACATTTATCTAATATCCTAATATATCTGTATTTAAATAGTATATTTACAATAATAGCATTAAGTTTTAAAATCTGCTTTTAGAAAATTAGCTCAAACAATTTTTTTAATTTCAGAAATTATTCAGAAACAATAAAAATGAAATGAATTTCCCACATTTGAGTCTTCCTGTGGCCCTTTAGTTGAATGGAGCAGTTAGATTTGTGTTATTTTATGCATTTTGCTCATTTTCTTTTTTGTTTTTATAGGCTAGTTATTGTGTAAAAGTTTGACAGTCTTGTGTTTTGTTGAACAATTTTGGGGACTTTGTGTATTCTGACCCATTTACATGATTTTTCTTTTCCCCTGGTATTCATCTTTTTGCTGTTTCTGATATTTGTTCTTTGTTATTGTTGCTTTAGATGGGGTTTTATTTAATTTTATTTATCTATGGTTTATCTCAACTCTTTAATTATAAATTTAGCCTTATTTAGATCAATGTTAACAGTTACTTGGTGTTTTTATTCTTCTATATCTGTTTTTACCTTAAATGGCTAAGAAATTGGATTAGTTTGGTTTTATCTAAAAATTTCAGTCTCATTTTTGTTTGTTTTGTGGATGATCGTGTCTTAATTATTTTATCCCATAGTTCAGTTTTTTTACATGTTTTTTCTCAGCTGTGTCTTGTCTCTTTTCTGCATCTATATTTCCTCCTTCATTTTAGCTGTTTTCTAACTATTTGATCATTGTTTTATTTTCTTTAATCAAAAAGCATACTGTATTTGCCTCCTGATTTTTCTAGTAAAGGATTGAGATCAGTATAAATGTCAACACTTACTCTCCCTAAGCACAGTATTGTGT